CAGGGAGGGAGAAAGGGAAGGGGCGTCGGGTGCCGAGCTTGTGAGCGCGACGTAACGCGCAACGACCTCGTTAACAGACCTTACCTCGTACAGAGACTCCAGAGAGAGACTCCTCCTCGAGCAGAGACTTCTACGAAGACGAGGATATCGTTTATGCTTCGCGATCGACACGTCGCTCCAGATGACTGTACGAATCAACGGAATAGACGAGGATTACGTTGGACAACAAAAATTTACTGATGCGACGGCGCGGCCACGTTCACCACGGTTGCCACCTGAAGATTGTCTTCAACGTCCCCCGGACGTAACAAGCTCGAAGAGGCGCAGCTAAAGTTGTTCACCTGCTGTTCTCGCAGAGGTGATGAACTCCAAACTCAGCGAGAGCGCGGCGAGCAGAATCACCGCGTCCTCGTCTTGCAGTGTGACCCCACCTCCAACAATCTTAGGCGCTAAAGTAGTTCGAGGAGAGGGGGGGGAAGGGAGGAGGAGGACACGGTAGCGCCTCTATGTTATTTCTATGATCCAGTGCGTAGGCTGAGCCCAGATGATCAGACCATTACGGACAGGGCGGTCGCGAGGAGAGTCAACGCCGCGTGGTCCTTCCAAACAACGTTGACCTCTCGGAAGGGGCATCGGGAGACTCAAAGAATTGTACAGTTAACTAGCAGAATTCCCTTTTGTATACAACAAAAAATTTCGGTATCAAGTAATCCATTACGGTTTGATGGAACCCTTCATGAGCTGCAGATCTGGATCCGGTCAGAGGTCCGGAACCCAGACTGCACTTGTGGCGAGGCCCAGGGGGTCCTCACTTCTCACTGCTTCACTTACTGTCCCACTTATCTCATTGACTCAGGGTGACGCGACGTGGTTCGTTCATGAGTAAGCGCTCATGTGATTTCCAGGAGCACAGCTATGAGGCAGGAGAAGTACTGCCTCGCGGTGCTAACATTCTTGTCGGGTGTCGGGTAAACGAATAGGACTGCGGTTCTAGCGGCACACCACATACGGTCCTCGATTCTAAGATCGTGTTTGTTGTGCCTTGCGATCTGTCATCTTGCGGCTGCAGAACAGGGCAGAAGATTCATGTTGCGGAATGCGTGAGGTCGTCGCAGAATGGATTTCCTGGCCCACATGCTAGTGGGTCTAGCAAGGCGCAAACTCCCATGCTTGCTTGAAGATTTTACCTTTTGACATGTCTCTTTAACCAGAATGGATTGTACGATTTGTCATTCCATTACTTATTAACTGAGGTACGATTAACTAAGGTACGACGAACTCTACGTCAAAAACTAGGACAAAAGTGGTTTTTGGGGGCAGTTCCCTATCTACCACACAAGTCATAAGAACGCTGCATTTTAGACTTCCTGCGATTATTCGATCAATCTGGATTTCCACCATGCGTGAATTACCTGTTCTTGGGCGATTATGTGGATCGTGGGCAGCAAAATTTGGAATGTATCGGATTAATCTTCTGCTACAAGGTCTGATGAGAATTTGATAGTCGAAGAAAAGAACTGAGCCGTCTTCGGGCCAGTCCTTTGAGTATCTCTGTCGTAAACGAGAGTGAACTTTATCTGCTAAGGCTGCGCCTTTTCAGATTAAGTATCCTGGTAACTTCTTTGCACTTCGCGGAAATCACGAATGTTCTCCAATTAATCGTGTCTACGGATTTTTCGAAGAATGCAATCGTCGCTATCAAAGCACTCGATTGTGGTTGCAATTTCAGGTAAATCCAGGATTCGAAGAGCAGCCGCAGAATGAGCGCCGAACACTTCCGCCATAAGTGGCTCAAAATTGCCACTCGTGAGCACATTAAGAGCGGCGGTTTTCGCGTTACGCGAGGTAGTGCTAATCTGCTCACATCCATGAAGCCGCGTTCGTACTTCGCGATGACGCGCGCCGACGCGCCGTGACGCACTACAGTTGCAACAGCGCTCCAGTCGAAAGATGCGAATGTAGCCGCTGGCGGGATCAATCGGCGCCGCTTGTGCATTGAGAGAGCATGGGGAGCTGGAGGGATCGCGTTGCCTAATGACACAGTATGGCATCGATCGGCACTGCACGCTAAGGCGGCGCCCGTCGCTCATTCGCTTCTGTAGGATTGGTGCGCTGTCGCTTCGCAGCGCGTTATAGCGCGCCGACGCAAACTCTGAACGCTCCACAAATTTAGCTCCGCGCGACTGCTACCGACCGCGCTCCTCTGCAAATCATGGGACCGGAGTCATTTTCAATCCTAATGACAATTTGGGGAAAAGGTTTTTTCAGCCGTTCTAGCTGTCCATCGATTAAGGGTGAGGCGTGCTGCCTCAGCTACACGAGTTGGGAATTGCACGTGTCGTGAAGTATAAACGCTGTCTAATCTGTACCTCTGTTGCTTGTTCAGGACGCGTTTGCTGCCCTACCGTTCACAGGTCTTATAGCTGGCAAGATCCTCTGCATGCATGGCGGTTTGTCGCCGAAGGTATGTGGACATTTTTCGATTCAGGCTCACCATCGAGTCTCTAACTGTGTCGTTTGTTAGCGAACGGAAAGCTTGAGAGGTTTTCAGCTCAAATCTATGAATATTACTCGTCCTATCGATCCGCCGAATCCTTCGTTGCATATCGATTTGCTGTGGAGCGACCCTGACAACTACACAAAGGTGTGCAGCCGTCGCCGGAACGCCTCTTTTCGCACCCCGACATGGACAATAACTCATACGTGGATAACGTCATTTTTTTAGCGGGCGTTTCTTAAAAGAATCGTTACATGCAGCGATGGCCCTCGACTCTGCGTGGTGTAGTCGTATGGTGTTGTGCAAGTGATGTAGGTGAGGTATGAGATTGTGCGGCTATTCTCAAAAAAAGTTGAGTTACGGTAGCGAGAGGCTCATCAGGTCAGAATTAGAGTTCGCTTTCACTGTACATGATATTTTTGAGAGAGGAGGCTGACGTAGTAGAGAGACGGCACACTGACAATCGTAAGACGGCGTGTCGTGCGGCGATGCGCGACGAGTTCTCGATGTGCATTAGTACGTGAAGCAGCGAATCTCCTATGGATTCGAGCGCTGACGGGACTCCATGATGGGCGATATCGAGTTTTCCCATCTTTTCGACTCATATGCGAACGGCCAGGTAGGACAGCTGTCCATCGGCGCGGCGTCGCTCACCAGTCCCCCACGCGCAAGTCTGCGATTGTCTTATCATACTAACTGTGTAGTAGCAGTTCGCCTTTCTTACCGAGCAAGCGTGTCCATAGGCGCGAACAGCATCCCACATCAGGCCAGCCGCCCCGGCCAACGCGAGGGACTGCCACCCCAGTCTATGGGTGAATTGTGGCCAGATTTATCTATTTGAAGATTACAAGCACATCGTGGCAATTGGCACGTTGCTTCAGGTGAGCGGAGAAGGTGGTTCAAAGACAATTGTTATTCGGCGTCATCGCACACACGACAAAGACAGCGACGCGGCAGTCCTTGTAAGTTATATCCATCAACGTAACAAGTAAGCTGCCGCTAGCTTCCCATACTTTGAAAAATTTCCTGTTCAAGTTCTCTTCAACTGAGGACCAGCTGTCACTAGAACATTGCAATTGCGACGGGCGATAAAGCTGCGACCGGCGACAGGTCACGCCTACCAGAGCGGCGAGTTACGATTGTCTTGTCGCATATCCTGTCAGCAGAGCGTGGATGGCCTCATAAGACGTGGAGCCCAATCCGCCTCTCAGCCTCCGACTTCCAGTTAGGACGATGGAAATCCCGATCCAGTTTAGGTACGTGCAGGATGGCTTATTGAGTTTTTCGCAATAAAAAGCTGGTCACAATATTCTCTGCTCCTCATTATTGCGGTCAATTTGATAACGCTGCAGCTTTGATGAATGTTGACGAGAATCTCGTTTGTTCATTCACGGTGAGTTCCTCTTTGGTATATGTAACTTCAGTTCTTTCTGCAAAAGTAAGAAGTTCCTGGCCAGCATCTGAGGAATTCGGCAAATGGTAGTTGGGAAGCGAGTGGCGCGTTGACACTTTCGGCCAATTGCTCTTTGAGGTTAAAGATAGATGGATGAAGGTGTTGCTAAGGGCATTAGTGTCTCTTTAAAGGCAATTGGCACGATGGTTTCCTACAGCCTAAAATGCTAGTAGGGCGCTGTATAGTGGGGAAATGGCGAAAGAACGGAGTGAAACGGTCAAAATCCTGCGAAGAAAAAGCCTCCGTTCTCAGTGACTTGTAAATCGATTTCGGACGAGTTTCCCGTAGGCATCTACCAATCACCGCTACCCCGAAGAGTACTGCTTTATGTGTCCCATGTATGCATGCAGCATCACGGCCGCTTCATACCAATCCCTTCGCTTCATAATTTGCTTAGCAAATGAATGAATACGAGCGTCAGGAACGGTCGTCCATTTGTGGGCGGGCGGGCGTTTGGGACGTAAAGTTGTGGCTTGATAGGGCCTTATAAGGCACCTAGGCATTATGCAGCACCTGCCCAGGGTCGCGGAATTCTATCCTGCCAGGAGTTTTGATCCTAATCGTCTTCAGGGATTTATCGTGCCAACTGCCTTTAAAAGGACGCAGAACAGAAGAGGATGTGCCGTAATTCCCCTAGGTGACTACAGCGAAACCAGCAGATGAAGAGCTTTACCATTGGTCTTTCGGTGGAATCACCTTTCTTTCTTATACGATTGCGATACGAGGATGGCACACGTTTGTACATCGGGCCAAAGAACAGCAACAGAGACGATGCGGCCAGGGTGTGGCGCGCAAATCTTTCGCGCTCGAGTCGCGAAGATGTGAACGCGACATTCGATGGAATAGACTTGTAGTAGCCGCCAAGGTACCTTATGCTGATTGTGGGAAATGGCAGGCGAACTAAACATGTTGGTTGAAAAGGCTGAGCGCTGAGCCAACCCAGCCCCTGACACGCCTCAGCACATGCAGCAAACAATACCTTACAGATTTCACCCGTCCTTACACAGTGAAGATTTTGCCGCGCGATGTGCGCCACGATAAGTCGATGGACATTGAGCCCTGCGCGGCCGCTGCTCTGTGATCAGGGCACATCACCGTTGGGGATTCCTTAACAGAGGGTTGTATCTGGCCGCTCGGAGGAGAGGGCTGTATTTGGTCTGGAAAAAATATTGCTTTGTGCGGGTTCGAGTCCGCCGTGGTAGATATAATGCCACAACTCAGCATTCTTGTGATAGCTTGGTTGTTATTTTTTTCTGTTTCCCGGACGCTATAAGAGAGTGAGTGGGATCATACTTGGCTTAGGAGAGTGGTTGTTAACTTTTCGTGGTTTTTCCTATTATGAATGTGCTACATAGGTACCCTCCCAGGGGAACAAGTAGGAAAAGTTTCGGAAATTGGAAAAATGGATCTGGTAGGAAGTTGGTAAAATCTTAGACAAAGGTGGTAGGTAAGATGGGATGGGGAAGGGGAGGTGGTTGTATAAAGTCACCCTTTAGGGGGTCCTACGGACTCAACAAAAGTTCCCAACTAATGATGTGTCTGTCTGTAATAGCCGAATTCCGCGGGATTTCAGACAGCTCACCCTAGGTTGCGGTGTTTGTCAGAAAGTTGGAGGAGAAATGCGAGATTGATAGGGCTTTCACCTCTGGAATCTTAAGAGTTGCATGTGTGGTGATGTGAGTAATGAAACCTGATTCTTTTGAAGCTCTGTACAACATCTGAGTGGACGGTGATGAGGAGACTGTGCCTGCCTTAAGGGTCCTTAAAGGCAGCGTCCGCGTTCAGTTGAGATTTTCCTCTCCCTTCGTGAGCAGGTAGTCAGGTCCGCAGAGGCAACAACTACACCACTTTCGCGGCGCAAAAACGAGTGAGGAGGCCCACGATGCCGTCGTTCTTCTCATTGGCCCAACCTACAATCATTGGCACCGCCCTCCACTCATTCCTAATGGTTATCTGATGGTGCGGTTGTTTCGCTGCTGCTTCTCTCCACGTCGAGTGGTGAGAGTGAGGTGATAAGGGAAAACAGCTGATATCAACAAGTGAGAACTCGTGCAACCTCCTCTTCGCCTTGAGCACGTACAACCTCAATTAAGCAAGGGGTTCTATATAGAGCCTTTCCTATGATTTCTTTCTGATTTTTCTTCACTAAGGGGTTACTTGCTACCTTGTTATAAGTATTTGAGCCGCATAACTCATCAAATTTGAATGCGGGCTCAGCCTTTAATAGACTACTGCTTTCATTTCATGTCTCCTTGAACGACGTCCAATTATGTTATTCTTTTACCAAACGAATTGTTCAGATACTGCGACCGTCGAAGAGAGCTTGCAAAATTTTGCAGAGATAGAGAAGAGCTCACACGAAATTGACATATCAAAATTAATCGATAAGCGCCTATTTATTCACAAAATCCCTTAAAAGCAATCTACAAAATAAAGTTTGATTGCTATTGCCTTTCACCTACTTTCTTGACCAAATCAGTGAAGGAAAAAGATCCTTTGGTATCATTACATTCCCGTTTATTTATTTACCAGTCGGATCGCCGGCTGACGCCGAGCTCTCCTCCTTCTTTTTAGCTCGGCTTCGCCGAGCTGGCCTGGCTTCGCCAGGCGCACATCATAACGGGATGGAATTAGTTAATTGATGAGCTGCTCATATTGCGCGGTAGTGGTCGAATCATAATAGACAGAGTAACCTAGCGAAATCTGCACCCCTCAGAGTTGCGGAAGGCGTGCTGGTTTCGGCCATAACGCCCATTCTATACGTAGATCTTGGAAGTAGATAGGAAGTACAGAATATGTGTTGCACAGTAGATGAACACATTCCGTTTTTATTACCTGCATCACAACACCAACGATGGGCGATTAACTTGTCACATGCAATCCACCTGCTAAGGTTGCATGAATGGCTGCAGATGACAATATTTAGTTCATTGAATATCTTACAAACTACTTCGTTATACGTTCTCATCAGTGATTTAAAGTTGAAAAGCAAAAAAAATATTTAATACTCACTGAACGCATAAAGTGTGTTCCAATATTGGAG